CCAGATGATCCTGCTTGTCAAAAACCCCCACAAGCTACTTAGATGTTAAGCTGCACAAGCGCCTGCCCATTCAAGAGCAGGTACAGAGAACACTCTTCTGTTCAGCAGCCGAAAAGGCCTGTCATTGTCCCGTGCTCCCTATCTGGAATTACTCTTACACTTCCCTTAGCTGTTAATACAAGGTTGTTCCAGTCCAACACTTGTTTCCTCGACCACTTACTTCCCAATAAAGGGTTCTACTGAAAAAGAGATTTTATCACATCTGAAAAAATCTCATCACTGCCACTTCCCCAGACAAAGCCGCAGTAATGTGGAGCAGTAACCTTCCTCACCTACCCTTCCTACCCGGAGCAACGGCAAACAGCCACAGTCCTGAACGCGGGGGCTGGTTAACTGGAGCCTGAGATGCAGATACCGGAATTATGTGCAAAAACCTTCTGAACATGGGCTACGTGTGAGTGAGTAGGAGAGGAAAAAAAGGATAGAGTAGAAAGAGGCTGAGGAATATGTCTGCATATGTAAAAGAGAACACAAGGGACGAGGGAAGAGAGGAGCACAGTGTGGTCTCCGCCGAGACCGAGCGGTGCACTTCAAAACCACAGCTACAGCAACGCTCACGTCCGATGAATGTGCTCTAACAGCCCCTGCTCGGGCTGTTGGCTGGTAACCGGCAGTGTCACACGAGGTACGGCTACCAAGGCAAGATGTTTGCTGCTGTATTTTTCTTCTTTCTGTGCTGCTAGTCAGTTCTTGTGTTCTGAATTTTTCCCGCACCTCTGCATTTCCCCTCACCAGGCTGCGCTCCCAGATCTCCTACTTCCCCTGACTTTACTGCTTGCCTCCAATGACCCTTCCAGCTCGTGCTTCAAGAGCTCCCACACGGGTTCTCGTGTACTTTCTAGATCACACACAAGATGTTCTTACTTTGAACTGCCGAGACCTCGTAAGGGGAAGGCGACAGCTCTGCCGTAATGCAGGGAGGTGGGATGTACACAGATAGCAGACTTCTCGAGTCGAAGCCACTGAACAGACACGTTCAGTAGAGGTCCAGAGCAGATCGTTCTCCAGAGTTACTGCGTGGCTTCATCGGGTGGCCAGTGCCATTGCCTTGGCTGAACAAGGAATAGCTTACACTGCACCCCTGCGTACGACGCAGCTCCGAGGTCTGAGCTTGTGCCTGGAGAGCTGAAGCTAAAAGAAAGCAAGGTGTGCACAGAGACAACTGGCCTCAAACTCTTCCATCTTTATGCAACAATCTTTTTCTCCATTCTCATTCCAGATTGGTATAAAGAAAAAGCCAGGTATACGGAAACTAGGACATTATCTGCGCAATGCGTGTTGCAGTTAAAGAACACCAGTGTGCAGGCAGTGAGGAGTACCCAGAACTTTGTGATCTCTAAATCTCGTTATTGCAAAAGAACATGCTTCATTTCAGTCCCTTTCACACAGCGAATCCCGACATCCAAGGACAGCGAGTGCCATTGGAAACGTTCCCGTTAGTTACGCAGAGTTCTCGAAAAAGGCATGGTTTCCTCTCTCAAGGAAAACCTAATTCAAGCTTTGCTCAACCAGCCTTCCCACTGAGAATATTAATGAAGACAAGTTCATCTAAGTGTCACTTGGTCCAAGAGCAGAGAAGGAAGCAGTGGTAGTAGAAACAATAGTCTTTATCGGGACGTATTTTTAGGGTCTAACAAACACGCAAGACATCTTAGAAATATTTCCTGTTTACAGAGAGCTGTACTATCTGTGTGCAGTGATACTGTGCACATCCTGAGCTGAGCTAGGGATCAGAAATACATGGAAGCTAAATAAGACTACACTGGACAACACTCCCTGGTCAACATATTTCCTATTTTAAGAATAATTCTCTAACAGCAGGGAATTACCTACAGTCACCCTTGGATGGAAATGATTTGATAGCAAATTTGTATCAAAACAAACAAAATCTGAAGTCCAAAGTATAATTGTAGCAAATCTTGCATAAAGACAAAAAAAGACAAATCACACTATGAAAAACTGACTGTGAGAAAGTGAAATTAGAAGAGCCTGTTCAGAAAAATGAGGAAAGCAATTTAATTGACTTGAGCATTTTTGTAAGAAAAGTAGCAAAACCTCCTCAATGGGGGAAGGGGGACAGAAAATCTGTGACAGAAGTCCATTTAACACTGGATTAATTTCAACAGGAAAGAAAGAAGTAGTCTCCTTTGTCCAAAAGGAAAATAGGATTTGTCCGTGTGCTTCTTTTGCACAGGCCATTACTGACCTATTTCCATTCTGAAATACTGCGGTACCTGCGCATTAAACACGACCCAAGTTTCTGGGAGAGAGGTTACCAGGCAGGAACAAATCCTCCCCGCCCGAACCGATGTGTTCGTTCTCGAATTAACAGAAGCCACGTAGAACACTTCACTGCCAGGATTTATTTTAGTGGTACATGAAAAGAAAACACACCAGTATAAAAACATTTCCAGTGATTATAACATCCAATTCAAGGTGTTTTAAGAAAGATAAACTGCATCAGAAATCGCATCATTACAAGTCACGGAACAGTTTGAAAAGCTACCGTGGGTAACAGTAGTAAACAAAAGTGCTACTGTGTGCATAATACTTAAGAAAGAAGTATACAGTCCTGTGCAGCATCCTCCTGACACACAAGCAGATTCAACCACAGCTGCTGCGGGCATCTGCAGCCAAGTCCTGTGGTTCAAAGGATCAGTTTACAAAAGGCAGCTTCTACCTCCAGTAGCTGGCGAGGGTTACCAGCTCTCTACAGCGTTAAAGAGTCTTGAGCTTCTTGGCCGTGTAAAGCAGCAGTATGGCTCCCCCTCTGAGCTGCTCATGAACAGCACCCCGATTAGAAGAAGCTGGATCTTGGTCCACAACAAATCGCCAGCTGCCGTCTGGAATTCAAAGACCACTGTTCTTTGAGCTCTCCACCCAATCCCCTCGCATGGAGTACAGCAACACAGTTCCACAAGCAAAATCAGAAAGAGAGCACAACTCAAGAGCTGCAAGCTCTTTGCAATCCAGCAGGGATTTGTCTGATGCCCTAATCGCCATCAAAAGTCAAGATCTGAAAGATTTAGTGCAAAACAAATTCTCGTAGGACTGGTACAGTGAAAACTGTTTCTGATATTGTTCCGAAGCGTAACAGGAATGTACAAATGGTAAACCCCAAGGCAGTTTCAATCCATGCACCGAACGCAGTATCCTCTGAACCAGCCATCACTCCTTACAACTGGCCACAGTTCCCGACACCAACTAAACACAGAGATAGCACTAAATAAGGTTCAGAGAGGCCGGGTGTTCTCAAACCCCCCACACCGCGGCTATCGCACCGGTTAACCTATGCTGTCATCTCACAGCATACAAAGGTGCCCACGCCCCGGGAGATTTTACACACTGAACGACATAAGCAAGTAACTGCCCAACAAAATATCCTATCGAGGTGTTAGCTTCCCGGCTGAAAAGAATCCTCAAAAAACTAAGGCTTTGGAAAAACATGAGCAAAAAGGAATCCACGCGGTTCTGAAGCAATATTCCAGCAGAAACACACCAACATCCTCTGCTTTGCTCTTCCGCTTGAACCAGATTTTCTCTCTTCCATCCGTGCCCAGCAAGAGAGTGATCAGTAACTAACCTGACTTACACAGTCGGTAGCTCGAAGCTGTGAGTGTCCCACAGGGGTGCTCTTTCCCAGTACTGCAGTTTGAGACTGTGTGTCATGTTGGTGCCTCCTCCGGTCCTCTCCAAACATCTCCATCTCCTCATCAACGGACAGAACCGTTTCTGAGGCTAACTACCTTTCAGGGTTTTAAAGGTCCATGATGTTCCTTACTCCACCTCCACGCTCAAGGGCACAGGATACAGTAAGGTCTAAGCACCTCGAGGAAACCAGAAACTCTGCAGACCCACTGCTAGGAACCAAGAGATTTACAGTTTTGGCAGCCCAGCTTAGGGCCTAAGAACTTGTTCCACTGAAATTCCCCCTTTATAATTCCCATCATCGCTGTAGGAAGTGTAGCAGTTATGTGGCAGATTGGTACCAGAAAGTAGTTAAATATGGCTTTGGCTTTCTAAATTCAGTGTGAGAGCAGAAAACAGGTGGGGTTAGTGCCATAATCAGTAGCTCTTTGCCAACAAGTGCTTCATGAACTAAGGTGTGCTCGCCTGTGCTAAAGCACTGCTCGATTTCAGCTATTTCTTTCACAGACTGTGGGATCTTGTTTAACTGAGCCAGGGACTAGTATAAAAATGGGTTTATTTTATCAGAGGGAGAAATGCAATAGGTAAATTGCTAAATTGTCTTATAAAAGAATTAAAAAAAAATCAGGAAAAGTGTGTTTTGATAAATGTCTCTAAACCTGGAAAAGTGTGAAATGGAAAATCCTACAAACAATTACCAGTAAGGCATGGAGAAAGGGATCTACTACCAGAGGATTTACACACTCCAAAGATTTCTGGTTTTGTGTGACTCGTTGCCACATGTGCTTCCCCAAAGGTAACTAGCTGACATTTGAAAGTCAAATTAAATTTTAAACCAAGCTAACCAGCTGCATCTAATAAATACTTTTTAAAATAACTTCATTTAGATTAAAAATTTGGAAATCAGTGATTAAGTGGTTACAGAATAGTAAATATTGTGTTGTAAATAAAACATCCTCTACAAAAGGGGAGCCAGCCTAACAATCCACCGCAGGTCGCAGTGTACTCAGGTTACGTCACTGCATCAGAAACGCCTCTCCCCGCACTGCACACCGCATTCTGTAGGTGCTACGCTTACGATTCTCATCCAGCGCCAGAGAACCTCTCCCCTAACAACAAGAATATGCTTCCATAATAAATTATCTTGTATGAGCTTACAAAGTTTCTCAACAATCCTACCTGTCTTACTTGCACTGTCTTACTCCATCTTCTAAGAGTAAAAGCTTATAATCACTAAGACATAAAGAATCATCTGACTCCTGAATCAGCACCACTAAACGCCCTTTCTGCCTTCAGAACTCATTACGCGACTCCAGATTGTCAGGACTCTGCATCCAGCTGTTCTCCTGTGACAGATCCTTTTCTGTTGATGTTCTGTTAGGCTGAATCTAGAAGAAAGACAGTAATTAAAAAACAAATTAGCAGGTTCAGAAACACCACGTTGCTCTATAGCATCACTACACCGTTGTACAGAGATGTCTTACGTACTCGCTACGACCTGAGAAGCGATGCGTCTATGCAGCAATTAGGCATGATGAAGAAATCTAGTAAAATAGTAAAAACCCACCCATGATATCCACATGTTGTCATGGAGAAAGGCCTATGGTGTGCTGTATCCACAAACTGACAACTGTCCTGCAGAGCCTGTGGTAGGTGCTAAGCTCAGAGACAACTGAAACACTGGACTCTGCACTGTTTCTCACCAACACAGAAAAAAATATGAACAGGGTCGCTGAGATGTACCAGCCAACCCAGCCACTTCCAGTACTGTATCCCCTAGGGTAATGGAGCGTCCCAGCCTTCAAACACCCCTTCATCCAACAACAACGTACTTCAGCCGTTCTACAACCTGTTAGCACGGCCACAATAGCGTGGACAACGGCACATAAACAACTTGGGGAAAACGTGCTCGTGTAGCAGCAGCAATGCTTGGTCACTTTGTCTAGTCTGTGCAGGCCAAGTCATCCTTTCAGAAGTTAAACAAAGAACCCAAGTGACTAAATATACAGGAGGCACTTCTGTGCAAATCCACCACAGAACGGAGCAAAGAGCTCACCTGCATTCTGTCAAAAACTTGGCAGCGTTTAAGTTGAGCTGAGCTCTCATCTTTGCAGAGAACAGGGACTTAACTGACAGATCCTGAAGTTCCAAAAGTGAAAGCTGAGAGAGAAACCTGTCCTATTTTATTTTTGCAACACGTTGTTGTAAGATCCACTCCGCATATTTCAGCACATCAGCAAATGCTTGAGCAGGATGTTGGTGAGCACGTGTCCTTTCTGCTGCCACCTCCCCCAGCTCTGTTCAGCTCTGTTCTGATGCTTAGGAAAGCAAAAGAAAGAACCATCCCATCAAGGTTAATCAAAGCTTCCACGTGCATTACCTGGAAAGGCTGGCTGATACCAACTACTGACTGCAAGTTATTGCTGTAATAACAAAGCACAAACTCTCCTCCCACGTCAGGGATTTCCGCAGCGCTCATGTACACCTGTCAGCAAGAAGAAGAATAGGCAATGGGCGATTTCCAGAGAGAAAGCAGCTTACAAAAAGCAGTGTCTGCCACTCAGGACATCATCTGTACTCTAAGTTTTGTGTGTTCATTATAAATCATTTGAGGTGATCTCTGCCAGACAGCTGGTAACAGGCAGCAGCTTTGAGGAGGGACCATGGCACACAACAGCCACTATGAAGGAAAGTCTAAGACACCCTAATCTGGAGCTGTGTTATCCATCTGGGACTAATCGTGTAAGGAACATTAGGTACTTACAATGAATGTAATGAAAAAGCACACAATAAATCTTCAGGATACACTGACAATCAGATGAAAAAAAAATACTTATTTCAGTGGCAGAAACAGTCCAAAATATAAAATGACAGTAGTTTTTAATACAATGAAAAGTTACTACAGGCATAAATCGCCTTTTCAGCAGCTCTTTAAGCAATATGGTCACACCTGAGAAGGTGTGCGAGACTACCTGCAAGTTAATACAAATCAGGAAGAGGGGTTTTAATCGATAATATCACTCCCAATTAGCTTCAACTGGGAAAGAGGATACAGAACGTGTAAGAAGAAGGGGATATGGAACAAACAGACCTTGAATGCTACTCCATGGGAAGCTACACTGGAAAGCAGAGTGGGCTTACTTGTTTACTGTCTTTGGTAGAAGAAATTTCATCATCTTCTACCCAAGCGTAAGTAACATAGTCATTCACATGCCTGAACGCCACCTGCAAAGGAAGATGCAAACCATCAGCCTCCTGAAGGAAGCAAAAAACCCAAAGTTGTGAGCACCATCTTTACTACTGCACTTCTGCGATCAAAACACTGTAGAGGCACAGACAAGTCTTCAGTTTCTGAGTGAGTGTGACCGCTCTGTTCTCTCACCCTTCCAGTAACCTTCTTTTATTTTTGTTCTTTCTTTCCTGTACAAACATTCTGAACTACATTAGGGGAGGTCAATTCCTTTTCACAGCTTCTGCACCATTTTCTTAAATAAATTACTACATTATCTCAGCAGAGAATTTAAAGGGTGCGAAAGAGCTTGCACGCCATACAATTAAACCATCAGCATACAGAAACTAAGGGCAATCAAGGACACATGACTGTTTCAGAGTTTTGCACTAGCAAGAATCACAATGTCCATGACAGGACTATCAATTGCCTCCTCCAGGCACATTCACCAACTTCATTAGGAGCGAAGAGCCGTGATGCAGTACCATTACCTTGAAGAGTCCAATCCAATCCCAAGCACTGCTTGGGAATTCAGGCACTGCAGAATAGCTGATGAGAACATCATGTTCCGCGCTCCACTCACCCTCAGGACGCAGTGTGACCAAAGGATCTGATGAAAGAGGTTTCAACTAGATAAAAGAACAGAATTTACAGTAAGTCAAAGTCTGTTGTTCTTTCAGTTATTCTTTTCAGGTTAATCCCTGCCACACCTGCTGTGGGAACTCTGAACTGATGGAAATAACCTGAAAGCAGTTCACTGCCTTCACTATAATCAGAATGGAACACAGAGATTGTGACTTACAAAGCTTAGAAAACATGCTTCTGTAAGGCAAGGCTTAGGAAAGCAAACGTGTTCTTAACAACATAACTGGGACAGCACCTCAAGCCCAAAAGTTCCTGTAACAGGTTTGTGATCGCTGATGCCATAGCTCATGTGACTGATGTATTTATTCAAAGTAACAGAAATGGTCTGTTCCTCTTCAGAGAGTTCGCTTCCTTTTGATGCGCGCTGGCAGAGATTCTTCACTCTCCAAAGAATTCTGTCAGTCCACGCTGGCTTTCTTTTCTTCTCACTGCAGAAGTGTAAGAGAAAGGTGAAATCAGAAGAAAAACAGTTGCCAAAAGCTAAGAATATCGTGCAAGATCTACTGAAGGTTGGAAGACTGGCAGGTACATATTAATAAAAGAAGGCAATCGCATTCAGGCTTCATTTTACAGCTCTGTTCAATATGCTTTACAACCAAGGTTTCCTTGATTTGAACTCACCTCCGTTTACCAGAGGTAAGCTTCACAGGTTTCCGAGAGAGGAGTAAAATGAAGGGGAGAAGGGGATTTAAATGGGTTAGTTGGCTTCATACGGGAAATGATGCTTTCTCCTAAAACACTCCACAAAAACGTGCAAGAACGTTGAGATAACACAGCAACTGCCCCAAGCTTCACACGTACAGTTACTGTGAGAAGGGGGCGTAAAGTTAAGGATGACACAGGAAGAGTCTGAATGATGTTTGAAATGACTCAAATCACTGGAGAACAAGTTTCTTTTAACAAAAAATGGACAGACTTAGGCAGCTTATACTGATCACAGGTGAGACAGCAAGGCTTTATTTAAAGTTCCGCTAACCTGTGCTAGCCTGCATGCCAGGTTTGCAAGCTCTCGCTGTCTCGTAACAAAGGGCTTTACACACCCCATGACCAGCAGAGTTGTGCCTGCAGCCCGCCCCTGCGCTATACATCCAACTGCAACCACAACCCAGAGCTGCCTTTTATACCCTCTCGATAACGACAGCAGGCGCGAGCCTTCCGTGGTTCTCTCTGCAGTGGGAGGGAGCCTTGACAGCAGCTCTCTGTATGGATGCATCACTTCAAATGGAAATGGAGAAAAGATCATATCCTACGGAAGGGGGATTAGAATGGATTGAATTCTAAACGTTAATGAGCAGGATGCATAAGGAAAACTGTCAGTTTACTAACTCTGAATATCTAAATCGCCGTGAACTGGAAATGGCATTTAGGTCAATACCCAATACACTTTTGGTTTACCCCTTCCCGTATACAATCTGACCCACCCTTAATAAGGTGGAAAGGTTTTAAATGACTAAGGGGCCATACCCCACTTAACCCAGTAATTACATAAACCGACAGAAATCTCTGTGAGCTGCTATATGTCTGCTCTGCTGTGCAAGAAAACACCAAAAGAACAGCTCCCCTTAACACGCTATTTTACAGGAAACAGCATATTCGAAGGGAAACAAAACCTCAAGTCCACGCTGAAAACGATTCGAAGATACCAAAGCACTGTGCGCTTCGTATAAAGCACAATCCTCAAGGGAGCAGGCTGAGGTCTGCCGATCACCCCCCGTGCAACCAAAATACCTCTACCAGCTCTAACAGCAGCAGAATGCACACGCTACGCGTGAGCATGCTCTCTGGCCGTTAAACGAGCCAGGACAGCCTGTCAGGCGACACATCGTTCTCAGAGCGTCCAGGCTGGGATCATTGTAACTGGATTTACTGCTGGTCCCATTGTATCTATTCACACTCAGTTAGGGAGCAAAATGTCTTTGGATCCAAATGAATAAACTGTCAATAATGAGTGCAACAGCAGAGCAGACAATGCTACAGCTTTCAGACAGGTTCAGACAATCCCTGAAGAAAATCAGCTGTCATCTGATTTTCAAATATTTCACAAAAATCAAATCAAAAGCTCGGGAAGGAGCATTGTTTTGATTCTGAAATATTTACAAATCTATGAAATCCAGAAAGGTCTCTTCTTACTTAAACCAAAACAGGGACTTCTGCTCTCTGGAAGTAAAGAAAAAGATCAGTACAAAACCCCTGTTTGGACAGGAACTTATCCTCTGTGGAAACAGAAGACTCATTCTTAACAACAAACTTTAGTGTCAGATAAAAGCCTTGGAAAGTTATTATCATAGAATCGTGGAATGGTTTGGGTGGGAAGGGACCTTGAAGATCATCCAGTTCCAA